CGGCCTCCTCGGGGCCCAGCCCCGCCTGTGCCAGCACCTCCAGGAGGCGGCGGAGCGCAGGCTCATCGCCCGGCGCGGGGTCCAGCGCGCGCAGCGCGAGCGTGACGTCCGGCGCGGCGCCGTCCGCCGCCGCCGGCGCGGCGGGGCGCCCCAGCAGCAGCGCGTGCCAGGGCCCCAGCCAGTCGGCGCCCAGGCCGCGGGCCAGCGCGCCCAGCGCGTCGTCCAGCGCCAGCCTGGCGGCCCACCAGGCGCGCGCCTGGGCGGGGGTGGAGGTGGGCAGGTCGCGCATGCTGGCCGTGGACGCCGCGGCGATGCGCTCCATCTCCTGCACCCCGCGATGTACGAGGCTGTGGTGCGGGCGGGAGTTCGGGTTGAGAAGGGTCGGGGGAGAGGGGAGGGGGTGGGTGGGGAGCTCCAAAAACTGCACAGGTCTACGATGCATGCTGTGCACCACAGATCGGCTGTCCCATCGAGCAAGGCCTCGGACAGATCCGCACACCTAGTCTGGGGCCCTGGGCCGCCCTCGGCATCGCCGTCGAGGTCCTCGCCGAGAGCGCGCGCCGTGCCCCCGCTCCTCTCCGGCAGGGGCAGCTCCAGCATGAGGGGCGGCGCGCCGCGCTCCAGGCGGCACAGGAGCAGGGTCTGCGGTGCGGACCCCGCCGCGCCCTCCTCACCAGACCCCCAGACCTGCAGGCTGGCCAGTGCGGCGTGTGAGCGCCCGGCCAGGCGGTGGAGGGCCTCGGCCAGGAGGCGTGCCGCCTCGATCTCCAGGCGCTCCAGGAGCCTGGGCAGGCCCGGGGCGGCGGTGGATGTTTTGGGGAGGTGCCACAGCGCCCGCCAGGCGCGCGTCGTGGCGTCGGGCAACGGTGTGTTCGCCGACTCATCTTGCACTGCATCGGCCCCCTGCAGCAGCCAGGCCAGGCAGTCGTCGGTCAGCCTGGCCAGGCGTGCCAGCGCCGCCCCGTCCAGCCCGAGCAGTGGCAGGCGGGCGCCGCTTGCGGGGTCACTTGCCGCGTCCTCTGACTCCCCGTCCACCGCCGTCCTCTCCTGCCTCCCTTGCACCAGCGCGCGCTGCTGGGCCAGGGCGCAGCCCAGCGAGCAGTGCACGCAGAGCGCGGCGAGGTGGGGCTTGCCGGCGGCGGCAAGCACCGGCGCGGCGGCGCGTAGCGCGCGGCGATGCAGGCGGGGGAGGGAGGAGGACAGCAGGACCGCACGCCAGAGGATCGGGTCGAGTTCTGGTTTGGGGGGATGTGCGATCGGACCGGGGGGTTGCCGCCTGCCCCGGTGCGGCGCGGCCAAGCCACGCGTCGATCCCGCCTTCCTGCTTTGGGCCCGCGCAATGGCACCCTCATCGCGTGCGTCGCCCGCCTCAGCACCTGCTTCCCCTCGCCCATCTGGCGGTACAGCGCCGGCACCCCACACCGCCACGCGCCCCTCTGAGCGAGGGGCCAGGGCGCGGGCCGCCGCAGCGCAGGCGGCTTCGCACAGGGCCTGCACCCCCAGGCTGGTTGCCGCGCCCGAGGGTCGGCCTCGGGCGAGCGCCTCCAGGCTGGCGCCAGCGGCGGTGGCCGGCGAGCGCGAGAAGTCGCGCTCCAGCTGCGCCAGCGCCTCGCGCTCCTCCCGGGCTCCGGTGCGAGGCGCCAGACCCAGTCTCTTTGCAGCGCCGTCCGCCGGCTTCACCGTTCGTCGGGCTGCGGGGTCTGCTGCCTCTGCACGGCTCGTCCCCTCCGCCAGCCGGGCGACGATCGCCGCCCGCGCCGCGGCCGCCGCCTCTGCCGCCGCGGCCTGGCCGTGCCTCGTGAGCATGGCCGCCAGGTCCTCGGTCAGGCGCAGGCACGCCGCGCCCAGGCCCAGCGCGGCAGCCTGAGGCGTCGGTAAGGAGAAAGAGAAGCCTCGAGGAGGGATCCATGTGTAAAAAGCGTGTCTCTGAATGCCAGGTGAGTCCGGACGTGCTCGCCGCGGCGTTTCCCTGCTGTGGTCAGGCACTGCAGGCAGTCCTTGACCCGGTCATGAACGCCCCCACCCTCCCAACCCCATCCCCTCGCTCACCAGACGCTGCGCCTCCCGCAGCGCCGTCCTCGCCTCCTCCGCCAGGCCCAGGGCGTCGAAGCCCTGGCTCAGCGCGCGCAGCGTGGGCACTGCCAGCGCCGCGGCCCGGCACCAGGCGCCCACGCAGGCGCCCGCACCGCCGTCGTACAGCAGCGGACTGAGCAGGCGCTGCGCGTCCGCCAGGCACCGCGTCGCCAGCACATGGTCGCAGCGCAGGGCGTGCCGCTCCGCCGCCCACCTCAGCGCAGCCGCCCGACGCAGCTGCGCTGCCTGGCGGGGAGCGCCGGTGGCAGCGGTACCCGAGGCCAGGCCGGCGTCGTCACCAGAGGCCAGGCCGGCGTCGCCGTCGCTGTCCTCCGCCTGGCCGTCGCTCTCCTCCTCATGGTCCTCGCCCGTGCTGCCGTCCTCGTCGCCAGCCAGGTACGCTGGCCCATCCACCGGGTCAAAGAGTGCCAGCCCGCCGTCAGACGCCAGCCAGGCCAGCAGGCGCGCCACTCTTCGAACCGTCAAACGAGTACACCGAGTGGCTCCCTCACGACCATCGCGGGCCTCCGGCGCCTCAAATGACTCGATCGCGATGGCGAGGGACGCCCTCGCCGCTGCCCAGGCTGGCAGGTCCGGAACGGCAGGGCCGACGGTCGCGCTTGGTGAGTCGGCTGAGCTGCCGGGCGGGCCAGAATCTCCCTCGGTGGGCCTCTCCGCCGGCACCTCAGGCACGCCAGGCGTCAGCCCCGCGCGAATCAGCTCCCGCAGCGCCAGCAAGCAGCGCAGGCCGCGCAGCTCGGCGGCCAGGGCGCGTGCCTTCCCGTCCTGTGCGGCGGCGGGGAGGGGTGTGCGGGTGACCAAGAGCGATCTGCATCCGCCAGCACGGACACCGTGAAGGCCAGAGTTCTCGGATAGCGCATGCATGCAGGCACGCACCTTGTGACCCTTCTCCAGCTGCGCCAGGAGTCCCGCCAGGGCCTCCTCGGCGTCGTAGGGCGCCGGAAAGGCCCCAACCGCGGCGCACCGCGCCACGGCTGCGGCGTGGTTCAGGAGTCCTTCCTCCTCGGGCCAGACCTCCTGCAGGAGGAGCTGGGAGGCTGCCACCGCGACGGCGTCCTCCTCCCTCTGCCCCGCCAAGAGCAGGCACGCCTCGGTCTGGGCCGCCTTGCCACCGCCCAGCCGACCCAAGACCGTCAGAACGGCGTGCGGCAGGCCGGGCGCGGGCCACGCCGCGCCGACGGCGCCGGCGACCTCCGGCCCCAGGGACCCACCCTCGCCGCCCCACAGCACGAAGCAGGCAAAGGCCGCTGCAGCGGCCTGGCGCAGCACGGCAGAGCCCTCGTCTGGAGCCGCTCGGGCCAGCTCCAGCACCCGCCGCGCCGCGTCGGCTCGTGCCCGGGCTGTGCAGGTTGCGGCAGCTGCTTTGTCCTCGCACGAAAGTCTCAGCCGGGTCAGGGCCACGCTGGCGGCCGACACGAGCAGAGTGATGGGTGATGGTGTCAGTCTGGGATGGTCCCGACTCCTAGGTTCTGAGGCTGGGTGGGAGGACATCGCGATGTGGGCGGCGGCCAGGCAGCCGGACAGCCAGGCCAGTTCCTGCGACTCGGGAGGCGCACCATGCCTGCACGGCGATGTCGGGGAGGGAGGTGGGATTTGAGGGGGTCAGTGATGCGGTGTGCAGAACGCAGTATGACCAGGAGTAGTAGTCTCTAGACCATGGCACGAAGGCATACTCGCCAACTTCAGAGCAAGGCGACCAGCGCGGTTGCCCTTCCAAACGGCATGGCAGCCTCGGACCCGCCCACCCGAGAGTGTCTGGATCGGCGTCAGCGACTTCAGACAGCCGCGCCAGCCCTCCCCAGCCGCACAGGGCGGACACTGCAATGTCCAGGTCCACAAGAATCTCCTCCAGCCCGCTGCACTGCCCCGAGCTCAGCAGCCTCACGGCGACGCCGCAGGCCGCGGCCGCCGCATGGCGCCGTTCCGGGGGGGGCGGGCTGGCCCCGGCCTCCGCCGCGCGGTACACGACGAGCGGCAGCACCAGGAGCGCCCGTGCCAGCACAGTGCCCTCCCTTGCGCTCAGCGCCGGCGCGTCGGCCTGCCGCGCGGCGGCCGCCCGGCGCAGGGCGTTGAGGGCGGGGAGGCAGGCCTCCGCGTCCTTGACGGGGCAACAGGCCCGTCGCAGCTCGGCCAGGCTGCACTCCACTCGGTCCAGGAGCGAAATGGGGGCTGCAGGGCCGCCGAGTAAGGGGACGAGGAGCGCCAGTAGGGGCGCTGGCGGCAGGGAGGGCGCCAGCGCGGCGAGCAGGGCATAGAAGGCAGCGGCGCCGGCGGCCGTCAGCCGGCGGTGTCCCGCCACGGCCTTGCAGAGCGCGAGCGGCAGGGCGGGGTCGGTGGCGGCACAGGCGCAGAGCACTGGCTGCATGGGCGCCAGGCAGGGGCCCAACAGCTCATCCGGACAGGTCTGCAGCGCACCCGAGGCTGCCTGTTGGGTGGAGGGAGGGTAGGTGCGGGTAATTGAGACCTGGAGTTCGGATGATGTGTTGATCAATTCTTACCGCATTGTCACTGGTGGGACTTCTGGCAATTCTGCAATCGCCGCTGGTCCTTGCCTGACACAGGACACCAGACTGTCCTGGGAAGTCTGCGGCCAGTTTCAGCATGATTGCCAACCAGGTCGGGAAGGTAGCCCAGGCGCCCGAGGACCTGATCTGGGCGGCACCCTGGTGATGGAGGGGCGGGTGTACTAGGGCAGGCTTAGTAAGGAGCTTGCTAGGATTGCTCAGGGCTGCCATGGGCTTCGTGGTTCAAGCCTTTAGCAAGACTCGATCCCGCACCCCCTGCCCAAGACTCGCCTTGCACAGGTAGGCAGACAAGGCCTGGGCATGGTCGGATGCATTCTTGAGTCCGTTCTGACTGCGCATGGCAAGAGGGCGTAGAAGTTTCACCATGTGAACAGCAGACATCCAAAACTGCACTGTCTCAGACACACAAGCCTGCGTCGCGCACGCACCTGAGGACCGCTGGTGCAGCTTCTATGAACTTCAAGGCATCTTCCCAGCCTGATCCCGTCTTGGCACAGCAGAGGGCAAGTGTGAGGAGGCCCCCAATGGCAGGGGTGCAGAGGGCTGCTGGTATTGGGAACCCTACCCTGCTCTGGAATGATGCGCAGAGGGCTGCAGCCTGAGTATGTGCTTCTGGAAGGTGGTTGTGCGACACCAGAGCCCTCACTAATGCGTATCTCAGCTTCAACGACTGGTTAAGAGGAGGTGCACGGCCTGTGCTCTCCAGCACACTACATGCCGTGCTGGCCAGCTCCGACAGAGAGGCTACATCTGGGCCCGCTGAGTCCACAAACTCTGGTATCTGAGTAAGCAGTTTGGTTGCAAGAGTATTCTTCGAGGTCTTGGTGGCCGTGGAGCGGAAGAAGTCGTCCACATCCTGCACTGCGCCACGGAGGTCCGGTCCGCGAAGTCCCTCCAGCAGGGCCTCCGGCGTCGCCATGTATGGCGTCTGGCCTACGCGGACCAGATGATGAGCATGGTGATTGACCCCATGCAGAGCGACGCGAGCTCATCCCCTGAGAGCCCTCGACTGCTTGGGTGTCGCTGTCGCCATTGCCGGGGGTTGTGCGACAGGTGATTTGGAATTGAGCTAGGGCGCAACATGCACAGCATGAAGGTGTCCAGGGGACCGGGATCTCTACCGGCACACCCATTCTGGAGCCTTGCGAGTAGCAAGGACGCATCCTGAACTTCACAAGCCGACTTAAAACAACAGGCAGGCAGCATGCCTAGGGTGTGCACTGGTCCCTGGCGTCACGCCTGCTACCCTTTCTTGCGCAGCTTGGCCAGCCGACCCTGGCCCTGTTTCAGGGCCGGTCTGGGTCGCCCGGCCCCCGCCGCGAACTCCATGTAGCGCATACCCGCAGCGCCAGACAGGGCGGCCATGTTGCCAGCCGTTCTTCTCGCCGCCCCGGATTTCCTGTGGCCCGGATGCGGGGAGTTTGTGATGTACTGAGGTTGCACAGCGCGTGCCACGAGCAGGTCACACCCAGGTCACACTGCTATCTGGCAGGATGCCCAACTACACTCGGCTCCTTCATCATCCTCACCTCAAAGGCACGCCGTCCACCTCGGCCAGGTTCTCGTCGCCGATGTCGGTCTCGTTGGCAGCCAGGATGGCGGCCAGCACATCCAGCTGCTCGTCCAGAGAGCTGAGCAGCAGCCCCTCCTCACCACCTAAGCATGAAGTAGCAAGATTTGAATGTGTGAGGTTTTACTTGATACTTGTTGGGAAGAGAGGAGACTTCTGAAGTGATCAGCTGTAAGCTATGGAAAACAAGACCATGGCACTGGGAGGAGGGGCGGCTGAGTGACGCTGAGGGCAGGGCCGAGTCTGGCAAAACCCCGGCAGCGAGCAGGGGACCACCCTTGGTGGGATGTAAGCGTCCCTGATCATGATTCCTGTACGCAAGCACCACTCCAGCCTCACGACGTCACAACAAAATGCTCGGCATGCGCCCCGCGCGTCCGCCCACCTGCGTTCTCCAGGAGGGAGGGGATGACCTTGTAGCTGTAGCCCTGGTCCACCAGGAACTGCTGCCGCTTGCTGGTAAAGTAGACCTCCTGCGGAGCCAGAAGAGTTTTGAGGACAAGTTGAAAGGGTAGAGGAGGTGAATTTACTCGTTCTGTCCGATGAGAACTCTGCTACAGTGCAGTGCATTCGCGCTCAAAGCACCCCCCTCCTCTTGCTTCGAGGCCAGGCTTGGAATTTCACCGACCAGCGGGCACAGCCCTCCTCCCTCCTCCCCGTTGCCATGTCAGTCCGCCTTCTTTCCTCTGGTTCCTCACCTCCCCGCCCCCCCACCCACCCACCCACCTGGGTGTCGTTGGACACGAGGGTGTAGAAGAAGGCGTCAAACTCCTCGGCCTCCCCCACCCCCAGCCGCGCCTTCTTCTTGCGCAGGATGCGGCCCAGGCGCTGGGCCTCCTGGCGCCTGGACCCCGCGTGGCTGGAGATTTGGACCAGGACGTTGGCCTCGGGGATGTCCAGCGAGTTGTCCCCCACCTTGGACAGGAAGACGGTGTTCACCTCCGGGTTGTGCTTGAAGGCGTGCAGGATGCGGGTGCGCTCCTGGTGCCCCGTGGCGCCGTAGATGAAGGGGCGCTTCATGCGCACCGCGTATTCGCGCAGCGCGTAGATGTTGTCACTGAACACGATGACCTTGTCGCCCCTGTTGGGATTTGGTTTTTATTTTGGGGGGAGGAGATGTTGGAGGGAAGGGTTGGGAAGCCAAAGGGACATGGTTGGGGCGGGGAGACAAGGGGAGGGGAGGGGTAGATGTGCGGGGGTGCCAGCCAGTCGGTGCCCCTCCCCACGTCCCGAGGACCCCCTCCTCAAATCAGACAATGCGAGGCCACCACCCACCGCCGTTCGTGGTACTGGACGAGGAACTGGCAGGCCTGGAGCTTGGAGGGGTTCATGACGTAGAGCAGCTGGCGCTGGGTGACGGGCGTGCCCGGGCGCAGATACTCGCGGTAGAACTCACGGGTCATGGGGCACCACACCTCCGCGCACTGTACGTTGGCGATGTGCCCCGCCCGGGTTAGGTCCAGCCAGTTGGCCTCGTACAGCTTGGGACCGATGAGGAAGTTGAGATCGGTGATGAGGTGGTCCTCCCGCACCAGCGTCGCCGTCAGGCCCAGCTTGCAGTGCGCCTTGACGATGCCGATCACCTGCATGGGTGGGGCGGGGTGCGACGTCAGGTGGAAAGGGGGAGTTTGGGGTGGGGACAGGGTGGGGACAGGGGTGGGGACAGGGTGGGGACAGGGGTGGGGACAGGGGTGGGGACAGGGTGGGGACAGGGGTGGGGACAGGGTGGGGACAGGGGTGGGGACGAGGGGTGGGGACGAGGGGTGGGGACGAGGGGT